TCTGAACTTTGAGGGGGCCAGTCCATCATTTTCAATGTTCCAGCAGGTTCCTTCCGTCGGTAGTTCCGGCAATATTTCAGCAAATTAGTTTTATGGGTATTGTAATGGCCAGTTCAACAAAAACAAAGGAAACCTCATAAATATGGCAAGTGTTCTGACAATTTTGGCCACCGTATTTACTATAAAGTTTATTTTGTCAACTTGTACATGCTCTTTATTACTCGACTAAGCATCCTGAGACAGTGGATCCTTAAATCATCCCTAGATTCTTAAATACTACTTGAGGGTGAGTAAATGATGACAGAATTTTCATGTTTAGGGGAACTATTACTTTAATGCACTGATAGATAACACGTCATAGGTTTTGCAGCCTACACTGTACATCCAAAGTGTTGTGAAAGAGCAATTAGCATCCTGTTTTCCATGATGTGACCCTGAAACTAAAACACAACTGCAAGTTTATGGACATTTCCTTTAACCCTAAAAAATGTCAAAACAGAAAATTCCTTCATGATAACCCAGTACATTAGGCCCTATATTTATGGAATTTTCTTAGAGTCTGTACACAATTCTGAAAATTATGTTTTCCTATAATTACTGCAGAGTAAGTGCAGTAATTATACTGTGTTCCCTAGAAAAGCAACAAATGTCCATTTATCCTTCTTGCTTTCACATTTTCGGCACATACAGACAGAGGAACTTTAGTCCCTCTTGAATGCTCATTTGCCAGAAAAGCTAAAAATCCTGCTAGTTCAACTCCTGCCAGTCAGCCCCAGCTGTGAAACAGAGATGAGATTATACAGCACAAATCCAACTCCAAGTGTTCCCAACACTTTACAGAGAGCAATGATGGGTCAGCGATGCCACAGAGATCAGCGGAGCAGTGTCGCACTAGCCCGGAAGGACAAGGTGGAAAAACTGCCTTCCTGAGACTATGTTCTGCAAGATTTTTTATTTCTTTATTGTGCATTTAAATGGATAAAAATTCATTTACGTATATATTTGTTTGTTTGTTTGATGTCAGCAGAAAGGAATTCTGCACTTCAGGGCTGCTTACAACAACAAATTAATGCATCAAAAAATCGTTGCGCCCACTAATGGCCAACATTGACACTGCATGCTAAACCTTTTTTGTCAGTTTGAGTATACAGAAAAATGTAGAGGGGAAAAAAAATGTGCAAAATTTTTTAATGCATCAAAAAATCGTTGCGCCCACTAATGGCCAACATTGACACTGCATGCTAAACCTTTTTTGTCAGTTTGAGTATACAGAAAAATGTAGAGGGGAAAAAAATGTGCAAAATTTTTTTTAAATCACGGTAACACTTTAGTATAGGGACCAATTCTCACTATTAACTAGTTGCTTATTAGCATGCATATTGGCTGTTTATTAGTACTTATAAAGCACATATTCTGCATGACCATATATACATCCCTAATCCTACCCAACACATAAATTTAACAACTACCTTACTAGCTATTAATAAGCAGCAAATTAAGAGTTTATTAAGGCAAAAGTCATAGTCAATTGTTTGTTAATAGCGAGAACTGGAACTTAAATAAACTGTGACCGAAATCACTGTACAATTTTTGTATCGATGTCCTGAATCTTAATTTAAACAAAAATAATCTTAATTTAAGCATAAATATTCTCTGGAAAGTACGGTCTTAATATATTACACAATTTTTGCGTAAAGCAAATATTTCAATATTTTTACTGAAAAACAAAAGGAAAAAAGGAAACATGATTAAGAGAAAGATGTTTTGCAGTGAATGTATGCAGGGGTGGGTGAGAGGTTGTTCTGGACAGGAAGCTGCCTGTCTGCTCTGGTCTGAATGAGGGATCTGTCCCAACAGCGTGGGGATTTGGTGGTTTGTGCTGTAATCGGATTGGTGTGGGGGTTAGTGGTTTTGGTACGTGACATGGCCAGCGGAGACCATCCTCCCTCCCCTATATTTGCACTAATCCTGATGATTGTAGGAATGCTCACCAACACACTCGATGCACAGCAGCACCTGCCATATGATACATATGTGCATGGCAGCAGTGTTGGGGGTCTTCTGAAATATTCACTTTTGATATTTTGTTTAACGTTTAATGGGTTTCAACCTATAATCAACATAGCTAATCTGTCCCATTAAAAAGGCACTAAGTGTTACTGTGCGCTTTTCAGTTGGTTCTGCAACTGGACAGAATTTATTCTTTATATAGACATTATACTGAAATGTATACCGACATCTTGAGGATCAAGGCAAAAATGACAACACATGCTCTGTAATTTTTCTGTGCCCCAGGCCTTTTCGGGATGGTTGCACATATGATGTTCACCACAGCTTTCCAGCTGGCTGTCCAGATGGGTCCAGAAGACTGGAGACCTAAGACGTGGGACTACAGCTGGTCCTATCTGTGAGTTTAACATATGACACATTACAAATAAAAATCCACGTTTTTTTTTTACATATTGTGGGTTCCATATACTATTATTACAATTCATATATCTTATGATGTTTGCAGACCAAACTGATTGGTTTTAATGCAATTCATCAAACATCACTCTATGAAAAATAGTAACCACTGCACAAATAAATAAATAAATAAATAAATGATTGATTAAATAAATAAATGGTTAAAATGATGAAAAACTTCAAGAAACAGTGACAGCACCAAAAATATGCACTTTCCCTTATAAATGTTGTGCATATCTCGGTAATGTCTAAAATGTTTAAAATTAAAAAGTTTAAATTAAATATTATTTTATTTATTTTAAGGCATGGTAATAATGGTACATATGATAATTTATCATGCTCCTCGACTCTTTCTGTCAGTCTGGCGTGGGGCTCGTTTGGCACCTGCATGGGCTCGGCAGTCACGGCTCTAAACCATTACACCAAAACCATCATTGAGTTTAAATTCAAGCGGAGGACCATTGAGAAGAATCAGCGCATCAAGCAGAATATCCTGGAGCTGGACGTGCCAGAAGACTTATGGACATCACTTCAGTGCAAGAGCAAGCAGACCAACACGTTGCCCTGTATGTAAATAGCAGCGAACCATCCTGCTTCAACCCCACAATACTGGACAACTGGGACAGAGAATACTGCTGAAAATACATGAAGGACGCTGCTCCTCTTGAACACGGACATTTTTTGTGCATTTATATCATATATCATAGGGCTTATGTCAACAGAGTAGGATATGGACTGAACTAGCAGTGCTGCTTCTGTTCTGACAAGACTCACTGTGTTATTGTGAACCTTATTCATATGCTGATAACTGATTTTTAAAGGAAACCCTGTTGAAAAATCCAGCATATGCTGGTTAGGTGTGTTTTGAAACATGGCTGCTGGTTTGAGCTGGTTTAAGCTGATCCTTAGCTGGTCATAAGCTGGTCATGAGCTGGTTTAAGCTGGTCATGTGCTGGTCCTAAGCTGGTCCTGAGCAGGAGCTAGTTGCTTAGGACCAGTTTAGGACCAGCACATGACCAGCTAAGGACCATCTTAAACCAGCTCAAACCAAAACATACCTAACCAGCATATGCTGTTTTTTTTTTTCAAAAAAAAAAAAGTCTGAAATTTTAGAAGAAAAAAAACCTGACAAAATCTTTAATTAGTAGGCTACTTCTTTAAAAAAATGCAGTGAATCAGTATTAAACAGTCACTTTCTCCTATGACAAAACCATGAAACAGGAAATTGTCACAGACAAAAGACACATTATTGTTCAAACGCTGGTTTGTTTTGAAAATGATTCACCAATGCTGCATTTATTTGATCAAATATACAGTGTAATAAGTATTCATGAAAAGACCAGGTTGTTTAAAATGGAGTAAATCCAAGTAAATAACACTATTGAGAAACGAGGCAATTTTCTGTGGTGATCGACGGCATGTCACATATACTTGTTGTTGAACCCAGAGCATTACCACTCATTTTTTTAAATGTATTTATTCATTTATTTTAAAATTAATTACTGCATATTTATCAATTCGAAAATGAACTTTTCCTGTTAGTGAATTTTTCAAGGCGTACCACAGTGAGGTAAGGACGCCATCTTCTGGACCAACGTTTCAGTGCCTCTGGCAGAAAAAGACTCCTGTAAAACACGCTCCAGTGCCACATTTATTACAGACTTATGTCAATGCCAGCCGTCTTGTAGATGCAGGATGAGTGAAATCCCTCAATCTCTTGTAAACGTGGTTTCTGGATTAGTTCTGCCTTTGGTGGAAGGAAATTTGTTACATTTTACTTTATATGTGTGATTCAAGCATATATATGTAGCGCTTTTTATTAAAAGAATAATTAACCTGACTACTCTCTCATAATAATTAACTAACCCTTATTAATAGCTTACACACATAGATTTAACAGCGTTCTCATTATGCGTCAATGCGCCCGCCATTTTGAAAGATCTACCAGATGAAAGTTTGAAACAAAGTAGACCTACACTGAGTGCACCTTAACTAAAATGCTACTGTCAAAAATCTGAAAAATCAGCCCAAATCTCACTATTCCCACAATTTATCTAGATGTAGTTTATTGTGTTAATAGATGGTCTGAACTGTAAATTACAGAAAGATTAGGCAATAGTGCAAAGGGAAATGTGATTAAAATAACAGCATTGATTGAACATCACATTTTCATATTAGCCTAATAATGAAACTTGGGGTTCTGAGTATATAACCTATTCTCTGTCATGTGCAGCTGGTGATTTCTAAGTTTGTGTGTTTCCATTATGATCTGAGTTCAGGGGAACTGATTTACATAAAGCTAAAAAAATATGAGGCACATGGTGCAGGTGTATCCTGAGTGAGAGTCATGAACGTGCTGCATGAAAGAAAATGCAAACAAATGTCATGCCAAAGATTTTTAATTGCAGAACCAAAACCAAAAATTGAAGTACATAATCATTGTCAGATATGATGTAGCTACTGAAGTCACACAGTTCACATAACATGAACAGAAATAAAGACAAAACATCTGACATTTTCATTCAGAACATTTTTCAACACTGTGAAACTGAGATACTTTTCTTAGTGAATTTTGAACCCACTGACACTTCACATCTGCATCTGAAATCTGCATTATCCATCCAGTCAGACGACTCGATGGTCAGATAGCTGCTCATTTTGAAGGTTTTGTCTTGCTGTTTCTCAGTAGGACTGCTCCAAACTCCATCTGTAACGGAGCGACCATTGACTGACCAGGTGACGTGCACCAGAGCTACTGAAATATCCTCAGCCAGACACACGAGTGTAGCTTTACTCTCCTTCAGAGCCTCAGCGGACGGAGACAAGAGAGTCAGAACAGGAGGAGTGAAAGGGAAGTCTGGAGAAAACAGTCAACAGTGCATTTATGAACAGGCAATGTAATATAATATAATATATGTATCATATGTTGGTATGTAAAAGGATAATTTAAAGGATAAATGGAAATTGAATACTAAATTATATAGACTTTAATACTGAACATATCCTTATTTTGTCACTAACCAGAAAATGACAAGTAGGCCTATATTAACAAATAACGGAACATGATACCTACATATGAGGGTGAGTAAATAATAAGCCTTTAAAAACATCTACACAAACTTCAGAATGATTCCCATCAAGTACGATTTTGGAATGTTATTTTGAAGATTAATTTTAAATATAGGCCTGTACAGTGTATATATATTAACTTGAAAAAAAATCTCAAAAGTTGAGCAAAAATATTGTAATTTGTGTTTTAATTGTCCAATAATTAATTTAATCATACATTAAAACAAATGAAAATAAATAATGTGTCTGAACAATAATCAAGAGTAAAACTTACCGATCACATTGAGTTTTGTTCCTTGGCCGAACACGTACTCACTAACAGAGCTGTCCCATGTCTTACAGTAATACACTGCAGAATCATCCACATCCACATTACTGATGATCAGACTATAATCTGATTTAGATGAATGTGTTGATGTGAATTTAGGAGCAGAGAAACCAGATCCATATGTAGGTGAGCTCCAGCTATAACCAAGCATTAACACAAACTGAGGAACTCCTGCTGGAGTCTTTTTGTACCATCCAGCAACATGATCAGTTACTGTCAGTCCAGTTTAGCTGTTTCTCCTTTACTGACTGTGATTAATGGACTCTGAGTCAATACAGTCACTCCACTGACACCTGCAGAATAAACACAGCCCTTACATGATATTGAGTGTCAAATCACTTTAAATCATCAGATCTGATGAACACTTACAGGTCAGAAGAGTGAAGAAAGCGCAGAATATTGTGATCATCTTGTGATTTGGTGTTGATGTGTGAAGATGAGCAGTGCTATAGAATAATGCTGAGATCAGATCAGAGAGAGACTTTAAGACAGTAAAGACCTGCCCACCTCACACAACACACACTCAACACATCTGACACACTCACTCACTTCAACACAGAGGAAAAAATATTCATCTGAAAAATCTATTAATCTCTAAAAATATTAATAAAGATGAGTTTGTTTATTCATCTGAACAGATTTTGGAGAAATTTCGCATTGCATCACTTGCTCACCAATGGATCCTCTGCAGTGAATGGGTGCCGTCACATTCAGAGTACAAACAGCTGATAAAAACATCACAATAATCCATAAGTGATCCGCACAACATAAACCATAATAATGCTTCCTCCAGTGCAAAAGTCCATCCTCCATCCTCTGACATATACAACCCGAATTCCGGAAATGTTGGGACGTTTTTTAAATTTGAATAAAATGAAAACTAAAAGACTTTCAAATCACATGAGCCAATATTTTATTCACAATAGAACATAGAGAACATAACAAATGTTTAAACGGAAAAATTTTACACTTTTATCCACAAAATGAGCTCATTTCAAATTTGATGTCTCTATCATGCAAAAAGGAAGCCATATGTGAACATGGTCCAGAAGCACCGTTGTGTCCTGTGGGCCAAGGCTCATTTAAAATGGGCTGTTTCAAAGTGGAAAAGTGTTCTATCAGACGAGTCCAAATTTGACATTCTTGTTGGAAGTCACAGATGCCGCGTCCTCCGGGCTAAAGAGAAGGGAGACCTTCCAGCGTGTTATCAGCGTTCAGTTCAAAAGCTAGTATCTCTGATGGTATGGGGGTGCATAAGTGCATACGGTATGGGCAGCTTGCATGTTTTGGAAGGCACTATGAATGCTGAAAGGTATATAAAGGTTTTAGAGCAACATATGCTCCCCTCCAGACGACGTCTATTTCAGGGAAGGCCTTGTCTATTTCAGCAGGACAATGCAAAACCACATACTGCAGCTATTACAACAGCATGGCTTCGTAGTAGAAGAGTCCGGGTGTTGAATTGGCCTGCGTGCAATCCAGATCTTTCACCTATAGAGAACATTTGGTGCATCATTAAACGAAAAATACGTCAAAGACGACCACAAACTCTTCAGCAGCTGGAAACCTATATCGGGCAAGAATGGGACCAAATTCCAACACCAAAACTCCAGAAACTCATAACCTCGATGCCCAGACGTCTTCAAACTGTTTGGAAAAGAAGAGGAGATGCTACGCCATGGTAAACATGCCCCCGTCCCAACTATTTTGAGACCTGTAGCAGGCATCAAATTTGAAATGAGCTCATTTTGTGCATGAAATTGTAAAATTTCTCAGTTTAAACATTTGTTATGTTGTCTATGTTCTATTGTGAATAAAATATTGGCTCATGTGATTTGAAATTCTTTTATTTTTCATTTTATTCAAATAAAATAAAAAAAAACGTCCCAACATTTCCGGAATTCGGGTTGTATGTTTAGAACTGTTTTGGACTGTTTTTGCTTGTAAATGGCATATTTGTCACCTGATTCAGACAAGATGACTTTTTCACTGGAGAAAGCAATATTATGAATAGAGGACTCGTGTTTTAGCCAGAAGCAAAGGTTTGAAGTTAAATATCTTAATGGATTTGTTTCTTACAAACATGCAGATTTTTGCTTCACAAAACATGAAATAATGGACTAGAGGTGTGTAGGTTATTGTGATGTGTTTATCAGCTGTTTGGACTCTCATTCTGACGGCACCCATTCACTGCAGAGCATCCATTGATTAGCAAGTGATGAAATGCTAATTTCTCCAAATCTTTTTTGATGAAGAAACAAACTCATCTACATCTTGGATGGCCTGAGGGTCAATAATAGACATAGTCATATAATATATAGTATATATTCAGTAAGTTTTCATTTTGGGGTGAAAACAAAATCACCAATAAAACACAAAATGTACATCAAATATGCAATTCAGTCTTTTATATGATGGTCAGTGTTTAATTATGAAAGAACTGACAGAAAAGGCTAAGTTTTGTTTTCATCAAAAATAATAAATTGCTTAAATATTGAGTAAACCGATGGTGAAGTTTGCTTTACTTGATTTTATTTTATTTGTACATAATAACAACCATCACAAGAACAACACATATACAACAAATCAAAAAGATAAAATATGGAATTAATGGGCGTAGTAACATTAATTTTACCCTCTATTGCTCTTTGGTTTTGTCAGCCCTGTAAGTGGCTAATTATGATTTTTTTTTTTTTCCAGAATATGAGACCAGCAGTGATTGGCTGTCAGAGGCTCCTCCCACAAACCTCTCTTAAATAATCTCTGTCTCTCCTCTCTGTACAGCACTTCATAAAACACTGAGAGCAGATCTACTCACACAGAGAAACATGCTGATAAAACTCCGCCTTCTCATCACTGCTTGCACATGTATGATCCTCAGATCTTCAAAAGATTCTTTTAAAGCATGTGTTTCAGCTCATTTGAATAGTTTCTGTCTTTTTCAGGTGTCAGTGGTGCAGTTGTGGTGACCCAGAATCCTCCAGTCCTCACGCTGAGTAAAGGACAGATGGCCACACTGGACTGTAATCTGGCCACCATCACTAATAGTGCTGCTCGATGGTATAAACAGATTCATGGAGGAGTTCCACAGTTTGTCTTATATTTCCACCATTCAAACACTTCTCCTACTTATGGATCCGGCTACTCCTCTCCTAAATTCAACTCAAATCACAAAACTAAATCAGATTACAGTCTGATCATCAGTAATGTGGATGTGGCTGATTCTGCAGTGTATTACTGTAAGACATGGGACAGCTCTGCTAGTGAGTACGTATCACAGTGATTCACAGCATGACAAAAACCTCCTCACCGCTCACATTCACTTCTGCTTTACGCCTGCAGACTCTGTCACATTAGATACTGGATGTTATATGAATCTAATCAAACATTGACAGAAAGCTGATTCGAACAGCAGGTGTTTCCTGTGTGTCAGGAGGACTGAAGAAAATCTCCACAGATCACTGCCTCTGACAGAAGATAAACTTCAACACTTCAGTTTTTAGATCTATTCAAAGGACACATTAAAAAAAACTCTCAAATTAATAGCATTAATATATGATCATTTCAAAATAACATTTGTCCCGTGGAATTAGCAAATGACTTTGACTTTCATGTTTCTAGTGTTCAATAGAATGTTTTATCGATTGTTATTATATTAATATTTCATTGATTTCTATTTGTTAATAAATTAAACCATATTTAAAATTGTTCGGTATTCTAATTGCAAACATGGTTTGTTTTTAATAGTACTTCAAAATAGACGTAATAAACTGATGCTAAAATAATAAACTAACATATACTTTTGTGCATACATGAGGACACAAAGTAATCGGAAAAGTTTGATTAACATGCAGTTTATTTGAGTTTATAAAGCGCAATAATGTACATTCAAACATAAAATGCCATTCAGAAAAAGGTTCAGCCAATCACTTCATCCTAACGGTGAAATGGACACTAATATTACACTAATAGAGACACTAATAGAGTTATTTTACATATGGGGAAAAATCATGTTTTCATCATTCCTACAAAATGAATGTTAGTTTAATGACAAATTCTCTAAGTGACATAGAAAAATTAATTTAAAGGCTAATACTAATGTTAAATTTGCACTAAAAATACTCAAACAAATATTAAAACGGTTTCAAATGATGCAGCTAAAATATTCAAATAAATATTGTTCATTGAATTATTCAAACTTACACTTAAAAATAAAATTATTTAGAAGATGTAGCCTATTGGCATCTGTGTTTCCAGGAAGAATCTTTAACATCAATGAAATCTTTAGACAAAAAGTTCTTATAGTGGAAAAAGGTTCTTATTATTTATTTCATTATTTATGTATGTATGTCAGAATGCATGGTTCTTCTATGCCCCCACCCCCCACCTCCTTTTCCCCACCTTTTTTTGAACACCGTTAAACTCCAGAGCACCTGCAGGCCTGTATGACCATAAATAATGAGAACAGAGAAACCTCACAATTTGCATACAACTATAAATGTCACTATCGAAAAATATCTTTGATCTGATTCTGAAGGGCAGGATGTAGCTGCACATGTAAGGGACGCTCAGGTTCACATTTACTATAATACAGTATAAAGTATAATGTGCACATGTACAGTACTTAACCTGCTACATTTGTCAAAAAAACATCAGTAGCCTATACTGGTTACTGCGTGGAACACTTTACCACAATGCAATGCACTTACAGTAACTATAGGCTACAGTTCTGTCTTCCTAGTTTGCCTTAAATACTCCATTAGTCAAACTTTACGTTATCTTGAATAGATTTGTTTGAAGGTTATAGTCAAATAGCTGTTAGAGCATGTGTGTGTGACGAATGAACCAAGCAATATTTTTATTTCCAAGATGATAACAACACTAACTGAATTACACATGCAATATGATTTAGATGGTTTAGATGAAAACAGTGTGGCATAGCCTAATACAGTTTAAAACGCTTATCCTGTCAAAATGTTTACTTTTTTCATACACTATTTAAAATAGTGGAAGGCACAGTGCGTATCAACGGTATATTGCTACTGGTTACATACTGTTATTACAATAATAGACGGTATACAGAATTTACTTCGTGGTTTCTGCAAACTAATTACTTTTGGAACAGAGTCAGTCTTCTACAGATCACTAGAGGGCGCCAATCACTAATAAAATAATCATTCATGACGCATGGAGACTTTTATTGTGTAAACAGCGTCGTTGCCGTGGCGACACAGGAAATCTATCCATTTAATGCTTAGGAGTCAGTCGTTTTTAAAACAGAAATCTTTGCTCTCGTTTTGATTTCAGTAATTTCAAGTGAAGTGGTCGCTGTGATGTGTTTATTGCTCGGTGCAACTGGAGTAGGAAAAACGCTTTTACTGAAGCGACTACAGAATATCCTTCAGCAGCTGATTAAGTTACACTAACTTGCATGTTGTGCTTCTCGTAATGTAACGTTAGTTAATATCTGCAGTTCGGTACAGTTTGTGCTGCAGGTGTTATTAAACTGTTGATCTGCTGTCATGAGTATGTCTTCTTTATCTGGACTAACAGCTGTGTCAGATGGGCGCACAGGCGGATTTGGGTGAAGCGCCCGTCACGCTGCCCACGGTGAGCTGCTTCTGCCGCGGGGGTCCCGCTCAGTAATGCTGCCCTGTTAGCAAAACAAAGATTTTCTAAGATTACAGACGCTATATAAGATAAACAGCGTGTCTGAGTGCTAAAATAAAATAGATTGTGGCATCTTGCACTCATACATATTTTGGGAAATCAGTGGAACTGAGGATGCTGTCAATATGATTTTTTAGATTTTTAGTTTAGCCTAATAGTCGGTAAGCATGGTACCAGGTTTAGTACATTTAGGTTTTTTAGTACATTATGTCATCTCAAATGTAAAATCGTACACAAAAAGTATAAATATATTACAATATTTTATTAATGTGCATTTTTACTAATATAAGTTTGAGAGGTCAAAATATAACGTTAATTCAGAAAAAATGTATTTATGTGTGTAAAAAAAAGGATTAAAGTTGACTTAAAGATGTCATAAAGATTAATATTGTGTGTGTGTGTGTGTGTGTGTGTGTGTGTGTGTGTGTGCCTACTTAACCATATTTTGGGGACAAATCTGTACCCAAAAATGAGTTAAACCTGACAAAATCTCCAAAAACCTCCCTTTGGGGACGTCTTCATTTGTAAAACTGGCAAAAAGAAATAAAGTAAACAACTTCTGTGAGGGGTAGGGTTGGGGTGTGGGATGGGATTAGCTTATAAAATCTATAACTATCTGTATATAAAAACAAAAGAAGTCTATGTAATGTCCCCGGTGATATAGCTAAGTAAACGTGTGTGTGTGTGTTTTTTGTTTTGTTTTTTAAGGTCGGCACCAACCTCACAGACCTCATACTCCGGAAGAGGAAGATAACAGTTCGAGAGTTGGGGGGCTGTATGGGGCCCATTTGGCCAAGATACTACTTAGATTGCAGATCTGTTATAGTGAGTGTCAGAAATTCACACTATCCATCAGCTAGCAGTCCATTTTGCGGTTGCTTTACAAGAGAAGGTCCATCTGCTTTGACCCTGTAAAATTTAAAGAAAAAAGAATGAATAAAATTAAGAAATATTAAGTTAAATGTGACACAGAAAAATGATGTTGTGATGTTTTTATAAAACGTAAAAAAAAATAGTACAGAAATCAAAATATAAGAGAAATTAGATTTTTGGCAGAAGATAATGGCTTTGTTTGTTGGACCACTGGATGTGAAGACTGCATAAGTTTTGTCTGGACTTCTCTTCATTTCTTTAAAGAGACCTTGAGAGAGACTGTAGGTACATTTACAATGCGATCATGTTTCTCTTCATGTCTGATATCTTATCTGTTATGCATTTCAGTTTGTGGTGGACTGTGCCAACATTGTCCAGATCTCGTCGTCTTGTGTCCAGCTGCTGTCTGTTCTCTCTGCGGAGCCGCTGCAGTCTGCTGCTGTACTCGTACTCTTCAACAAGAGGTCAGCTGTCTTCACACTCACTCTTGTTTGTTGATTTAACTGAATAAAGACATCGCTCCTCACTCCACTTCTTTCCTCAGGGATCTTTCTTGCACCATGTCTCTTGTGGAGCTGAAGTCGTTGTTCAGGATGGATGACGTCATTAGAAGTGCGCCACAGTCGATCTCAACACTAGAGATCAGCGCTCGCTCCGGACAGGGCCTTCAGGAGGTGCTCAGCTGGCTGTTTTCAAACCGCTCTCATGATACAGGATAGACGAGTGCAGAGAACTGCGGGCTAATATTAAATCACAAGTCACAGCAAACAAACATCAGACAAATGTGATGTGAAGATATACTTGTGATGTTCAGTCCTCTCAGTGCTGTGTGAGCTCAGCTCGGTGCCACACCACGTTTGTGCAAACACACTAATTTGAGAAACAGCTGTGGAAAAATGTAGAACTGGTGGACTTTTGATGACTGTCATGTTGTTCCAAACCCGTATGACTTCCTGTGCTCGGTTTAAAAGTTTATTTGGAAGAATTGTTGGGCGGTTCATCTCCACACAATAAAAGCTCCACTCTAAGCTCTCAAATCTCATGTGTTCCACTGAAGAAAGTATTGTTTGGAGTATTGGAATATTGCGTTTCTTCAAGTTAAAGAATCTAAACTATTAAGCGGCCGTTCACACAGAACATGATTTTGCGTTGAAAAACGTGAGATGGGGGCAGTGGAATGGGAAAGAAAAAGCAAGATCTATAATAAAGCAATAAGCCCCAAGAAGCCGTGTTTTACAGTGAATTTATAACAGCTAAGGGCATTGTTAGGCACGACGTGGAGCGTCCCCTTAGCTGTTGTAAATTCACTGTAAATCACGGCTTCACAGGGCTTATTGCTTTTATAAAACTGTCGTTCCGTATACGTAGGTTTCATAAAATAAAACAAAGCAAATAAAATATAATGATATTAATAAAAAACATTCTTCCGCCAAACAGTGTAGTTCGTCAGAAACGGTTGTGGTTGCAAGCAACAAATTTGAACGCTGCTTTTTAAAACTGTGCCTTGTACAAGTTGCATAAGATGCCAGGCATGAGCGCAAAGGTCAAAGAAGTCCATCTAGAGTAAAGGAGCCCAAATTGTTTACTAAGAGTGACGAAAAATTGAATTTTTATTGATAGCTCAAAGTAGTTTCTTTTTTCTTTTTTTATCAGATTCAGTTATATTCTCTACATCTCAATGCAAAAATAAATGTTAAAAAGACTCTTATGATATGACATGATGGGTCAAATCAAAGGGCATCAGGGACTAACATTGGCCCGCAGACTCTAATTTGGGAACCTTCAGTCTAGAGCATGTTTGTAACAACAGAAAAAACGTCATGAAGGGGAGTGAAATTGGGGTGGGGGATATCTAGAGATGTGTTTTCTAAAAGTTCAACAGATTTTAATTTGAGTGCCATGTTATTAGAACGGTGTAAGACAAAGCAAAAGGGTGAGCGTAATGGTCAAACAAGTCTGTCATGTTTACAAAACAATACAACCCTGTGTAAATAGCCCTATGTGATTATGACATGTAGTATAGGCTATATGAGACATTTTGGTCACACAATTTCCATTCTTCAATTTGTGTTATTCCATAGTTTTCTAAAATGTGGAAAATAGAATAAATTATGAGTATGTGCGTCCAAATATTTGACTAGCATTGTTTTCGTATATTTAAGAAAAGGCAATCCAGAGGTAGAGAGCATGAACCATAAACAAACACAAACCAGACATGTCATTCATTTTCATCTTCATCCTTGTATTTGATGAGCAACATGTGCAACAGTCTCATATTCTTACATTCTGTTAGTATGTGGCATCAATTCAATCTGAACACCACGGTAAGTACATTCTCTTGCTGGATGTCTATTCATTCAACAGTCAGTGCCCAATATTACAAAATCATTATTTATACTTTACATTTTGCTGCTTAAATTATTGGCCACAAAATCTTAGTCGCTTTTATCTGTCACCATATCTGGTGTCAGTGACCCATCAGGATTTGATCGGCTGTTCACAGATACCAGTCATGTCAAGAAAATAAAAGGACAGCACTGAAAGTCATCAGATACTCCAGACCAAGAAAGGGACACTAAAGCAGAGCTAGAAATTGGTGCAGGAAATCAGAGAATATAATAAAACTGTATGAGAGGCTTTGGACTTGTGCTTGGTTATGTACTGGATTTTATGGTACGAGTAACAAGTGTGTTATCCTTTGCAAAAACTATTATAATACTTAAAGGTGACACTGATGCTGTGGGAGTTGGATTAAATATTCTTAACCTTTAAATTATGCCACTTATTTGTCATTTCTTATTAAGCCGACATCAATCTGTATCGCCATGTAATGCATAGTTGACATTCACACATGATTATAGTTCAGGAGCGTTCACACATACGGTGATTTATGACCGGAGGTCATCGAGTGGCTGTACTGGCGGTCACTGTGGATGTTCTTATTGCTGGATGTTATTGGTGGGCTGCACAACTGGCCAAATCTTTTGAAAATCTGATTACAAATGGGACATAGGGTCAGTAAAGTGTTTTAACTAACCCTTTATATGTGCAGAGACAATATAAAGAGCTGTTAATTTGCTTACATTAAAGGCCTTTGATATACTCGCATCAAAGGTATTTTTCGTTCTTCACTTAGGAGTAAAAAGACGTTTGAAATACCTGAGTTAGGGAACATGCTAAATGCCGCCCACCCTGCTGGGAGTGTGTTTAGATGAATATGTAAATATGTGTTGCACGCTTTCAACTCAATTTCTACTATCTCCAGTGTTCATGTTTTTTTTTAGTAATGGACGTCTTGATGGACTGAACAGAAGAGATGAACCAGAGAAGATATCCATGTCAAAGAAGGCGGAGCCACAGAGCCACACCCACTTATTACGTAATCGCCATGGACTAATGCTAGTTTAAATGTGTTTATTGGCTGGACTGAATTTTCCAGAAAGTTTGCTTTCCCAAGCTGTTTGGAACTCCCAACACTAACTGTAAACGAACTTTATTTTGTCCTGATTTTGTTTGAAATGACATCAGTTTGTCTTTTGATTCCGATTTGAAGTATATCAGGGCCTTAAAGGCCGTGACACGCCAAGCCAATGCCCAATGTCAGGTCGTCATTGAATGTCTGTTGGCTTAGTTTTTGCGATGTGTTCTACATCGTTGAATCAACATTTAACTAAATGGAGCTGAATAATGGAGGCACTGTTGTAAAGCTACTATACAGCTGATATTAAAAGAATAGTTCACCTAAAAATGAAAATTCTGTCATTAATTACTCACCCTCATGTCGTTCCAAACCCGGAAGACCTTCGTTCATCTTCTGAACACAAATTAATATATTTTTGATGAATAAAGTCATTATTTTTTTATTCTTTGTGCACAAAATGAATTCTCATAGCTTCATACGAGAGTTACTATTTTAACAATGTCCTTACTACCTTTCTGGATCTTAAACGTGTCAGTTGTGTTATTGTCTATGGGAGGGTCAGAGAGCTCTCGGATTTCATCAAAAATATCTTGGTTTGTGTTCACAGGATGAACGAAGGTCTTACGGGTTTGGACTGACATGAGGGTAATTAATAACAGAATTAAAATTTTTGGGTGAACTATCCCTTTAATTTTCTAATTAACAAATTTTAGTCCGTAAGACTGTTATATTTATGTTTATTACCATGAAGCTGCTTTGAAGCAGTATAGCGCTATATAAATAAATTTAACTTGACTAGTCATCAGAATTTCTGGCGTTGACGGATTTTGGCTATTTGCGTGTTATGAAATGCATGAGATAAAAACTAAAGTGATGAAGGCAAGCAAACGACAAAGTCAGGAGGGCACATACAGAAGGCTTTGTTTGCGGTTTGTATATTAACAGTCGTAGCTCTTCCAGTTTTTTTTTTTTTGAATGATAAATACAGACTACTGCCACCTGCTGGTGTGGAGATACTTCGTAATGCGTCCAGATCATAGACTGTATAAAAACATGGACGTAGTGTCCGTGACGTCACCCGTAGGTTTCCGAAGAGCATTTTTGAAGCCTAAAGTAGGCGAGCCGGCCGTCGTCATCTTGGCTGCGCGTCACTCCCGGATAATCGAAAATGGGCAAAGAGGCGGGAGCAGGTTGCTGAAACCACACCCACCTTGCTCGACGCCGGTGACAGCAGCGGCAATCCACCTGTCACTCAAGTGGCCACGCCCTTAATTATGCAGAACTTTAAGGCTTAATATAATTTAAACGGATGAGTTATAAAAAAATTCACCCCCCTCACAG